TGCTGGTAGTATATGAGGCTCCAAACAGTTGTCTGCACCTGCTATCTTGTGGTTCGATCTGTGGGGCTTATGTTCATGTTTATTTAATGTGCCCAAACATGACATTTGCAATTATCAACCTGATTATGAACATTAGTTAAATATTTATGGGGTTAAATAGGGTTTTTTTCCTATAAAAGTTTTCTTTTCTATTAGCATTTTTGGGGGCTACTAATCAAAAGAAACAACCAGAAAAATGCGGGTTTGGGAATAATGGCTGACTTCTTTATAAGCTGCAGAAGGCACTATCAAAATCTATATAGTGCTAACCTTTTGTTAATATTTTTGTTCTGAAGAGAATGAATATTTCTACACAGTTTTCAAGCTGCTTGTCAGACTTTAATAAAGTTACTATCGCAAATCCTAAATACAGACTCAAGCTGTGTCAGTTCCTTTCCCATCATGCACTTAAATTTTTGCAAAAATATCTTCATTTCCCCCACACTCCGTGGATGCTTTACGGCTCCAACTACAGGTAATTCCGTCGCACCTTACGTTTTTGTAACATGAAATGTGAAATGGAAATTCGCGCTGTGAAACAGCTCAGCGCCCCCACCCTTTCGGCCTCGTGTTTTTGTGCAAGTAATTTACAGAATAGAATTCTTGATTAAATTGGAGTACATTTCGTGTTTCGCCCCCTTCGGCGACGGCCATGGCGACCATCTTCTCATTTACCTGGCGAGGCGTGGGAGGGGGTGGGAGCTGTTCAACCCCCGCCCTGCGCACTGCGCATATAAAATGGAGCCGACGTCAGAGAAGCCGTTTGAAGAATATTTGCTGCATATTCAAGGAACCGAGAGCCAAAGCCCTTCGCCCTTTGCCATTCCCTACCAGAGCCCTGCCTTTTGCAAATCCACGCCCGCCTTTGGCTTTTCCGCCCCTTTCGCTTACCATTTTTTTTCTTACCTGAGCTTGCTGAAACATGCGAAACTTATTTTGCAAGTTTTATGTCGACGTCGTCGAGCAGCAGCTTTTATTTTTTCTTCTTTCTTTTCTTCTTTTCTCCTTTTACATTTTTTGCCCTTTTCCAGTTTTCACATTTGGCTCTCTGGCTCAAATTACAAATGCACTGAGAGAAAGAAAGGATTGAATACATATTTTTATAACTTATGCATTTATATTAAGAAAATTGTAATTATTTCAATCAGGGTTACATAAAGGAATTGGAGATGTTAGAGGCTATAAACCAAAAAGTTACAAAAACAAAGATAGTTACTTTGGTTTGTTGAAAAATTTAAAATAATGCTTCAGATTAAATAATTGTATTTATAACCTTCTTTAAACTATGTTTTCTTTTCGTTTTCAATATTTAGAAATATATTTTTTTTCGCCATGTAGCGGATGCATAAAATTGTCGGCGAAAAAACTTAGAAAACCCAACGCGATTCAGGCGAGCGAGCAGGATCCAAAGGGGCTCCAATGCCACACCCACTGGCACACAACTGGCACATTCACTGGCACATCCATGGCCACATCCACGCCCCTGGCTCGAATTGCATGGCAAGATGCCATCGCCATTTGGCTGGCTGAATCGCTGGCAGACGATGGCGATGGGAACCCAAGCATAAAATAGAATTTCTAACCAGCAGCGAGCAGCGACTTAAAGCATTCCCATTTCGTGGATTAAATGAGTTCAAGTCGGGAGGGCGCGGGAGGCACGGAACGGGTTTATCTCGGGTCCCAGCCTCGCATAACTCAGCGACCGTTATGGGTCCAGAAAGAGATACAATTCGACAGATACGATGCCGATACAGCCTTACAGAGAGCAAAATAAAATCACTACTATATGTAATGGGTTCCATATCATTAGCTGCATTTCGATCAAATAAAACTACCTAAAGTTTATCTGTAATAATATAAAATAGTTTATTATTATTTAAGTGAAAAAACAATGAGAGTTATTGATACAGAAAACATTTTGGTATTAATAGTTATTCAAGTATAGAAAAGAATCTTAAATAAACATATTTATTTGGTGACATTTTTTCCAGTGCAAATACCATTCGAACACAGGCTCTGCAAACAAAAAACATCGATAAGGTTTAGGAGCTCAGGAAACCGGAGCGTTTTGACCTGCCTGGGAACAATATCCCAGAGCGAGGAAGAGTTGCGCTCCGCGCACCAAATACGCAGCGGGATAAACGACCTCGACCACAAAGGCGTTTGTTATGGTCATTAATGCTTTTATTGGCCCAGAACAGAGTCCTGCCGCTGCAGTTGAGGCCGTGAAATATGGAATTTGAATCCGTATGCCAGTCCCGATATGAACGAAGGTCACCACCGGCAGCAATAAATTTGATCGAAGTGCTCTCGTTTTCATCCGAAAATCTGTCTCAGGGTCATTGGCTTGACCTCTTTCCCATTCTTTTTTTACGGCCTATTGCAGTTATGCGAGAACATTACGAAATCCCTGGGAATCCTAGTCATCCGAATCGGTCGAGGATCGAACTCTTTACCCAGCTGGAGGCCCAGGAGAGCCCACTCACGCTCCGCATAAAGTGATGCGATTAATGCAGAACATGCCCGAACTCTGAACTCATCATCATAAAATCGAGGCAACGACAACTACAACGATGGGTGGTGGGCGGTGTTTGTTGCTAGGTGGTGTTCTGTGGGCGGGGCCAGTCCCGAGCCAAATTAGTGCGATTCCAGATGAGACCCGGCATGTAACCCCATCCACCCAGTGCCATTCACTGGGCCTCCGATAATAGCAATGAAGTAGAAAATCCCGAAAAGCTCTGAAGCGCATAATGATGAGGAGAGCTGGGTGTGGGGAATGGTACAAGGAGGAGGTGGTGGCATCTATTGGGGACGCCGCATATCAATGCCCGTTGGGAGGAGGGGTCCATACCCCGGAATAATGCTCGACTATAAGGCGACTGAAATGCCAACGAAACGGAAAACTAATTCCGTCGTTTGTGACTTAAATGGCAAGGCCGAAAACAAAGGCGAGTTGGGGAGTGTGAATCACACTCTACGCCTCTCCACAGTGGTTTGGGTGTAAGGGAATCTTAATTAGCTTAAAACCATTTTGAGGAGTTGCTTGAGTTTATATTTGTAGAGCTAAAGCTTTTGGAAAATTGCTTCTTAACAGAATTTAAAAGATTATTTTAACATAATAGATTCAATTATAATTATAACCTTCCTATTTTGAATCATTTTACGTTTTATTTTTCGTTCTTCAGTTCATTTATATTTATTTATCTTTAATGTATTTCTACTAGTTAATTAGTTGACCATATTAAGATTTTTAAACCGATTTTATTGCATTTTTATTAAGTTTTTAATATACACATTAGTATTTTAAAGGCACTTGAAACTCATGTAATTGCTCAATAAAAATGTTTAAGTTGCTTTTTCTATAAATATGGTGGTTAAAGGAATTAATATAAAACTGTTGAATCCTCTACTTATTTTTGATCAAATAATTTTAAAATCTATTAAGATATTGTTCTATAAATTGCTACTTAATTATCCTCTAAAAGTCGTTAAAAAGCGTGTTCACTGCTTGTTTATTAAGCCTAAGCATTTATCATCAAATTTCTTTGTGTTGAAGGCGCCAGATATTATGGTTTTTGATCTAAAAATATCAAGCCATTAGAATCATATTAAGAAGAGATGTTTATATATTTTATAATCTCATTTCGTGTATGAAAATCTTTCTTATTATATTTTCATATATTTTCATATTCCACAATGTCGTGGGAATACATAAAAGTCAATCCAGTGTGCAAGGACTTTTCTGCCTAAGGTTTTTCCAACCAAAGGCACGTTTCGGTCGCTGGGCTCTGACTTTGCTGTTGGGATAAACGATTTCCAATAAAAATACGGCTTTGCTAGTGTCCCGGAAATTCGGTTTTGGCCCAGGCACAGGAATCCCGGCAATCTCGATCCCAATTCCAGGTCCTGGTCGAAGGTTGATGCTATCGCGTTCGATTGTTGATGGGCGAGCGAGCTACGGGGATGCCGATGTGGATGTGGCGGATAAACGGAGGTCGAGGTGGCGCACGATGGAGCATTAAATTGTATTAAAATGCGCAACGCACACACACCCTCCCCTCGGGGGCCACCTCACGCCCCCAAAACTGCTCCCCGAGCGCCTCCACTAAAAGACGGCATTTATTTTTAGTCGCGGCCAAAAGTCTAGGAAGCCTATAGAAAGAAAGGGACGCTGGGGGACCGCTGTCGGATTCCTGAACAAATGGTATTTTATTTATTTTTATTGGCAAATGTCAACGAGGCGTCGCTTCCTTTGTTGGCTGCCAGGCGCTGGAAATCAAATCGGAGAGTTTGTTTTAATTCTGGCACGGGTCCCTGTGCCGTCTCTTGATTTCCCAGTTTATTGCCCGTCCAAAGAAATAGTTTTGCTAATGTATTTCGGTCTGGGCATTAAAACTAAAGAGCACACTTGAGCGCCGCGATTCATTTCAAATTTGATTCGATTCCAGTTGAAAGTTTAAATTGTAAAATACTTTGGGGAATGGTTTGATTTTGTCATTCAAATGCTCTTAAAAAATAAAAGACCTACCAAAAATATGTGCAAGTAATGTTGTTAATTACATATATACAAGATCAACGGGAATTGTTTTTTTTATTTATTATGTGAATATTATTTTCGTATTAAAATTCAATAAATAATTTAATTTTTAATAAGCAAATACGAACTTTAAATGGAATATTTGCATTTTACCATATAACTTCACACTAAAATAATAATTTCTAAGTTAATGTTGTGTTTTGAGAAACATGAAAATTGGGTCAATAAGAAAGTTTATTACAGTTTGATAGTTTAAACATTTTTAAAGTTTTTATTACTAAAACTCAAGTTTGAAATAAAATAAAAATACAGAAGGAAATTACAAAGAATTTATAAATGAATAATACCTTTTAAATAATTAATCATCTAATATTTTTTAATAATTACTTATTAATTTTATTTTTTAATATTTATACATTTTCAGGTAAAATTCCCAAACAAAATGCCGTCGGCGGAATCGAAGATGTCTGCCAAACAAATTTCGTGGCTGAGAAGAGGCGCAGAAGAGCGGAGCGGAAATAATGGAGCGCCATCATGGTGGCAGAAGCAGAACCGGGAGAGGGGAATGGCAGCGAGGAAGAGAGCCGAGCAGAGAAAAATTCGGAATGCCGTTGGAATGTTTGAGATTGCGACGGCGACGCCGGCAGCGCTGTCTGCGTAATGGTTGCCTAGCGACATCGGCGGCCATCATGGATGTGAAAGAGAGAGCGCCGCTCTCTCCCGCTGCCTCTCACGGCCTCTCCCTCCCACACACGGCAACGGTTCGCTGCGGCCATGCTGCTCTGCTCTGCTCGCCGCTCTGCTCTGCTTGGCACTCACCTGCGACGGCGGCTGTTGTGAAGTTCTTTGCCTGAATTCCGGAGCAGCCGAAAAACAGCCAAAATCCCAAACAGGATTGCCATCGAAACGGCCGAATTCCGACTGAGTTTCTGCGACTGCGTGGTTACCAAAATAAAAAGAAAAGTATCAGAAACCAAGACTGAAGGCTGGAGGAACTTTGTCAGGGGTAAGTAACGGGAATTAGGGGTGGCTAGATTAGACAGAGAGGGGAATATACTCGTAAATAGGGAGCTATGCGCAGAAATGTCCAGGCATTAGACAATACACAAACCTAGTTCAAGTCACTGCTAACGTAATAAGAAGGTTAATCTAATTGGAAGGTATTTTTGAACTGATTAGAAGGCACTCATTTCTCAATAAAATTGAAAATTATTAAAAGTTATATATAATTTTTCTACAATTATAAGCTGAGTACATATATATTTTTTTACTATCGGTTAAGAAGAATGCAGAGAGAGTCGACACAGCTAATGAACGTTTTAAAAACTGTAAAGATTAATTTTAAGCCTTCAGTTTATAAATAAATATTTTTTAATGAATAACCTTTTAAGATATGGAACAAAATTAAATCCATTTAATTTTTAAATTAAAATAATAAGAAAAATAAAAAGTATTTATATATTTTTTTAGTTTTAAATTTGTTGTATATATTTCTTAAATTTATTAATTTAGTTTACCCATTTTCTTATTGCTAAAATTAATGAAAAATCGTATAATACAAATTTAAAAACAGACAAAACCAGCCGCTCTCTTGCTTACCAATACATTCAAACACTGTGCCACTCTCTTCCAATTGGATTTGTCATAGTGTGCGTGCTGGCTCTCTTAAAAACACTCTCTTAAACTCTCCCCTTTTGCATATGTATTGGTGAACTACGCTCTTAAACGCTTCTCTTGTTCTGTTTCTTCTCTTTGTCACCACTGCACCTGTTCGTTTGACTTTGGCGCTCTTTACTGCTCGCTCCACCGCTTATTTTGTTTTTCTTATTTTGGCGCGTTGCTTCAATGTTTTTGTTTGCCTTGGCGCACGCTCTTCCCCCGTCACTCCCAGACTCCGCGCTCTCTTTACTCCCCTGTGACAGCTGCCATTTGCTTATTGGATGCCGCTGCAGTTGCTCTTCCTCCTGCTTTTCCCACTGCGCCTCGCAGCTTGAAATCTTGTTAGAATTTAATAGAATCTCAAAAGTCCTGCGCAAGTTTCGCTGCTTTGGGGAAATGCAATTTCCTTTTTTTACGATTTTCCAGCTTTGCCACTCGCCTCGCTATTTTTTCTCTCGTTTTTTTGGGCTTGCATTCATTTTTTGAGGGGGACAAGAGGAGTGGTGACTGTGACTGTGAGGAATATAATAAGTTTCCCGCTCGCCTGGCAACAAAGTTGGATGCATTGTGGGTGGCGAGTATCAAACAATGGCAGTGCTCTGCTTTTTGCTGATAAGAATGATTGGAGCAATCGCAAAACACAACAACAATGTAGGAGCGGAGGATAGAGAGTTCAAAACAAAGTCTTTCCCAATGGGTCTTACTTGTCCATCCGTCCCAATTGGATATTGTCTTTTGATTCCTAGGGTTCATGACTCGGCTAAAATGTATTCGAATTAAGATCATTCGTTATCGATGCCCTTGCCCATTTAATTATATAAAAAATAACTTGTTATAATAACAAAGGGGCAGGGCCAAGGGAAAACCCAAACGAGGCCAGCCGTTCGTGATAAGGTGCAGTTAATTATCATTTCCATTCCTGATTGCATTCACATTCGTCACAGTTTCGCGCCTTCACCCACATAAACAAATCAATCGCATCGGAATATATAGGCATATATGTATGTATCTATGTACACGTGTGGAAATGTTTAAATATATCGCATTGTTTGTTATTGAAACAATGCGCCTACACATTCAAGTCGAACACAAACATTTATTTTTCGACTTTTCTCTCCGTTTTGTTGTTTTGTTTACTTTGCACATTTGAATAGAGAGCGAACGGCAAGTGGAGAGGTCAAATTTATGCATGACCTTCACGGATCGGAGAAATTAATTTGTGTTAACTAATTCATTGAGAAATTGTTTTTGGTAAATTTATTAATAATTAAGAAAGTCACAAGCTATTTTCTTGCGGTTTTAGAACAGTTTCAGGCCCTTAGAACATTTTGATATACTAAAGAACATAAAGAAAAGTCTAGAATAACATTTAAATGAAATTATTTGATTAGAATCTGGACCTTAAAATGTAGTTTTGTTTCAATTAATCCACCAAATAAATCTCCCAATTAAATTCAACATATTTTAAAGTCTTTAAGGTAGTAAAATTATTAATTGTAATAAACCCCAATCATGATTACATTAAATTAAAATTAATAAGTTAAACATTCGCTTATCTAAACGAGGCCCCCTTTCATTTTAATGGGTTCAATATCGGGTGTAATTACCCCCTCTTAAACGCTTACCAAACGGGTTCCTCAGTTAACTCTCCACTCGAAACATATGGGAACTCGGATTCGAATCTGGATTTGGTACTTAAAATCCCGCGATTGCGGTGCCAACAATAAAACATAAATGCAGAACTCGAGGCGAGTTAAGTAGGTGCAAAAGGCGATGAATAAGCACAGGGGACAGTAAAAACTTAAGACCGAAATCAATCTGTAAATTGGCGCAAATAACTCCTGCAGGGACATAAATCAGAGGGCATTACAGATCCGAAGATCCGGAGATGCCGAGATAAAGCCACTTGACGGGACTCCCAACTGCCAACTGCCAGGCGAAAGCCAGGAGAACTTCGGAGGACGAGCAGCGGACGTCATAATCGTTTCAGTGACAAAGCATAAAATTTGAGTTTTACGATTTAACTGGGCCATAAAGCAACCAATTAGTGTCAGTGGCGGTGGCGGGATTCCAGGGGGGAGTTGGGTGCTTCAGCCCCTTCTGGGTGGGGGTGGGGGCAGTGCGTGTGGATTGAATACTTGCCTACGGTTATGAGTGTGAAATGCGTTTAATTGCTTTATGATAATTCTGACAGCTCATTAAAAGAGTCCACAAAGAAGCCTTACTGTTTACCGTTTACCGTTTGCCGCCTACCGGCTTCTGTATTTTCCCCTGTATTTCGGTATTTGCGTTTTCCGTTCAACTGACTTTTTAAGGAGCTGCCTAATATACGACTTCCCCAAGAACCCGAACCTGAATCAGAATCTGAATCTGAATCCGACTCAAGGGCAGGCCCTCGGTAGGGAGCCATAAAAGTGACGACAATTTCGTTTTATTTTTTATGACAGAGCGTCGCCTGCGGTCTCCAGTTCTTCATTTTTCCACCAGGTGAGTCCTCCTCGATTCGCATGTGTGTGTGTGTGAGTGAGTTGTGCAGGTGAATAATTTTCATTGCCGTAAATCACTGTGTCAATCGCCGTTGTAATGGCCGTCCAATGGTTGTACACGAAAATGGAGACATTGACGAGAATTTATGGCCAGAAAACCAGGGGGAAAGATACAACAGAATATAAATATATTTTCATAACTTTGCTTAGTTAATTAAAGAACTTTATTGGGATATGTTTATATTGAAATCATTGTATCTATATTTTAATTATTTAAAATACTTGAATTGGATTTATTATTGGATAGTTTTTTTTAAAGGTAATAGTATTTGTAAACTAATTTAGTTTTTTATGGAAACAAATATAATTAATTTCGTACTGGAAGCGAAGACCACAATAATTTCTTATCTCAATTAAGTGACGCCTATGGCAAATGCATTTGCCAGAATCACACTCAAGGCCTAGACAAATTGCACTTGCAATGATAATTTGATTGATATGATTGATTGCAGTCCAAGCCAAATGTAGGCTTGGCCAATCGATTAGAGGTTGGCCGGGCCAAGAGCTAGCAACCGACTTCCAACCGTCAGAGTCATTGTTTATTTGAAAGTCAATCTCCAACCAGAGTGTGCGGCGGCAGCGGCTTCAAACTCTTTCAAGTCCGGGATCCTCCAGCAAAGAACTCGCTTCTCGAATAAATAAAATAAAATGGCCAGCAGGCAGGCGAACTAGAAGGCTGGCAGGAAATTTGAAAACAAACAAAAGCGGCCCCAAGGTGAGTTTGGGTAAACAAAAATGAAGAATGTTCGCTGATTGACACTATCCGGTGCACGGGCATGGCAATTGGTAACTGGGGAATGCATTCCCATCTCCATTTTCATTCCAATTTCCATTCCGTACCCGTACCTGGGCCCCAGTCCCATTTAGCGTTTCCGCCGCGGCCATATTTCAATCGAACTGTCCGGGCATATCTGATTAACATGGGCGGCATCCCATGGGTTTATTAAGCCATAAATTAAGCGGGAATGCTTCTGCAGCTTTTGATGGATTGCTGCGAGAGCTCCGGGCTGAAATAAACCAAACTAAACTAAAACTATTCGTGCTGCCCCAGCAGTTTTTCATTCCAACTAAAAAGCGAGCGAAAAAATTATTTAATTTACCTAAAAGCTTTGGCAGCTGCTGGCGTTTCCCCAATTTTTCGCTGCATTCCCTGCCCCATTCTACACATTTCTTTATTTTTTTGACAAAATGAAATATTTAAGCCCCTAGGAGAAACGGACTAAATCGAGGCTACGAAACTTGAAATACTATATTCGTGTGTATCTGTGTGTCCGCGTGTGTATCTCTGAAATGTCTGAAAGCATTTCTACTTTAGTTTTCATTTCTGGTTCTCGGTCTGCTTCTGGCATTCTGCCTGCAGCTCTTTGTTGTTCTCCTCCCGCCGCCCATTTTATATTCTTTGATTTCGTCGAGTTTTCCCATTTCCATTGCGTACGTATCATCATCATCATCAGTCGCCCATTGTGTTTTCCTTTTTGTTTTTTCTTGTTTTCCCTTTGCCAATATTTTGTTCATTTCTTGGCGGCCCCCAAACACTTGGAATAAATTTTGCTCTGAATAAATTTTGAAACATTGTAATTGTGAGTTAAAAACAATATTAAATTGATAATTAAACCAGAGGTCTAATGGGAGTCCTTTAGCTTAAATTTCCAATTTTAAGATATTGAAGTTCGACAACCAAACTCTTTAAAATTTCTCCGAGTGCACTTACACCTCGCTCACTCATTCTCAACTCGTCTTCTTCGCATTTTCGTTTCGCATCATAATTTCCCGTTCGACGCCGACGACAACAAAAGGGAAA